ACACACACACACACACTCTCTCTCACACACTCACACACACACACACACACACACTCTCTCTCTCTCTCACACACACAATATAAAATGTACAAAATGTTAAAACATTTAAAAATAATAATACAATTATAAATAATAATACAATACATTTATAAAAAATTGTTTCAAAATATTTATAGAATGCAAAAATATTTAATATAAATAAAATAAAATTTACAAAATATATTACTAATAAATATAATCGATAAATAACATATTTTACAAAACAATCTTATTTTATATCTACAAAAAACAAAAGAAACATGTTCAAAAGATGAAAAAATATGTACTTTTTACTTTAAATATTTGTTTATATCTACAAAAAATATATGCATAAAATGTAACATTTATAAAATTATATTTAAAGATTTAATATAAATTATCATAAAAATACAAAATATATATTTTTAAAATAAATATAAACCCTACATTCATTGTAGGGTTTATATATACAATGAATGGATGTTCAAAAAATAAATAAAAGAATAAAATAAAAGATTTTAATTAAATATACTAAAATGTTTAATATAAATAAATAAAAAATACATATAACAAAATACATAAATATAAATAAAATGAACATTGCATATTAAAAATAAATTATTTAATTTTTATTTTAAACATTAAAAATAAATAAAAGCATAAAAATAAACATTTATACAAATATATTAAAATGTACATATAAAATACATAAATTTAAATATATATCAATATATTTTAAATGTAAATATATATAAATACATATAATAACAATAAATATAAACAAATATAAAAAAAAAATCTTGGGTTTATATCTATATCTATAATGAAGAGATATTCAAAAAATAATAAATAAAATCATAAAATTATTTTCTTAATAAAAATATAATTATTGTGATGATTAATATACAAAATAATATCGATAAATAAACAATATAAAAAAATTAACTTTTGTGTCTGTTAGTCCATGTTTGTTAGGTTTTAGCTCATCTATATAACTATATGACCATAAAACATATCCAGCCAAAAATGTTGCAAATCATGCTAGTTGGTCTTTTTCCTCCTGTTCTCGTGTTGCTGTTGCATGTTATTCATACATATTCACAGCGACTGATAATAATATATCGTCAGATGTTCTGTCATTAGAAGAGCAGGAGAACAGAGGTGTGGAGAGCCCATGCTGAGGTAAGACTGTGCCATTCATTTATGCTGAAGAGCTGCTTTGTTTCGTCCTTTAAGACACATTTAAAAGATGAAAAGGACGCTGTGATGGTGAAAACCAGGCGACTGATGCTTTTATGCAGGGTATGAAGTACAGCAGTTTTGCATAAACCATTAGCGGTGCCAGGCCTTGCATAACAGAAAGCTTTAGCACAGACCGCTGTTTCTGTGACTCTCCTCGAGACGGTTTGAGTTCAATACTGCGATTCTCCTTCGGGAACGCGTGTGGACAGTTTCACGCAGAAATCAAACAAGTTAACACTAAAAATTTAGTCTAAATGCATTAAAAAAAATAAATATAATTTTTAATATTTATACAATTTTAAAATATTTTATATAAATAATAATTAAAAGAAAAATGCACACACACATACATATATATATATAATAAACATAAGAATAATATTGTGTTAACATTTTATATAAATAAAATTAAGGCAATATATTAAAGCTAGATATAAATAAATGAAATTAATATTATAAAAAATCATCTTGGGTTTATATTTATAAAGAGCAGATGAATGTTTAATAGAAAGATAAAATATTTTGTAATTTTATAAAAAAATATATATTGCAATCACAATTCATGAATAAGTTAGCAATTAAATTTATTCTAAACATAGCATTCAAAAATGAATTAAAGAATAAAATGTATAAAATGTTAAAATATTTAATAGAAATAATGATACAAATAAAATATAACAAGAATTAAAGAAAAAAATAAAAATTATAAAATACAACTTTAAAATATTTAATATCAATAAAAAGAAAATACTTATATTAAAATAAAGATAAATACGAATATTTAAAAATCATCTTGGGTTTTTATCTATAAAGAACAGTTGGAACTAGATGTTCAAAAGAGAGATAAAATATTTAAAATTTGTATAGAAAATATATATTGCAATTGTGATTAATCAACAAGTTAGCACTTAAATTTATTCTAAATGTAGCATTAAAAAATGCAACATAAAATTAAATATATTTATCAAATCTGTTAAAATATTTAATATAAATATCAATAAAAAGAAAACACCACATGAATAAAAAATAAAAAAGAACAAAGTTAAGAATATTTATAAAACATAATGTCAAAATATTTATTATAAAAATTAAAATAGATATATTAAAAATAAATATAAAATCTAATACTTAAAATCAACTTGCATTTATATCTATAAACAACAGAATAAACAATGTAATTTAATATTAAGATATTTATTAATTTTTTATATTACAATCATAATTCACCAGTAAGTTAGCACTTGAAATGTATTTAAAAATAAATAAATAAATATATATCATAAAACTTTAAATACTTAAAAATCTCGCAGACTCCTAAAGAGATGAGCCAAAAGATTTATACTAACTATATATAATCCTATATATTGATACAAGTCTTATTTATTTCAGAGCATCAAAACTGAAGTGCATTATAGCTTGATGGCAGTAAAAGAAATCATAAATCATCAAAGGGCGAAAAAAGATGAGTCATGGCGTCAAAACGCTGCTGGTGTTTATATACACACACGTGTTCTCTGTGTGGCGTCTCTGCGCGGCTCATCATGTCGAGTTCGCTCGCTGGTTTAAAGCGGGGTGTTTGTTTAAGTGGGACAGGAGCGTGTGTGGGTTATGCTAGCGTTTTGAAGTACAGCAGCCTCAGATCTCAGAGACGCACAAACATCTTCACATCTCATAATCCACACAACCACAGGCAGACGCCAGGGCTTTCCTAGACAGTGCCGTGAATATTCGGGAGGTGCGGAGAGGATTTTCTGCCAGCACCTCGTTCAGGATTACTGCGATGTTTCGTCTGTGTTATTTGGGGCAGGAAAAGAACAGGATTTTCAGGCAGGAATACTTCATCCGATACTGAACTACTGCCATCATTTACTCAACCTCAAACCTGCATGGCTTTCTTCCTTCAGTAAAACACAAACTGAGAAATTTCGCAGATTACTCCTCACACAAATTTATTGTACGACTTCAAAAGAAGTGAAATACAGCGTACAGCTCATATGGACTACTGTTATGGTGCTTTTTAGTCATTTTTCACCAAAAGGGTTTAAATCTACCAAAAAAAAAAATTTCATGAAACAATGTTAAAAAAATAAATACAATAATAAACAAATGTTATATAAATACATTAATTATATAAGTATATATAAAAATAAAACATAATATATACATCAAAATAAATAAGCCTAATATAACACATTATATATATGTGTGTGTGTATGTATGCGTATATATATATATATATTAGAGATGCACCGATTGCAATTTTCGATTTTTTGTTAGTGTTATCTGCCGATACCGATTTTTGCCGATTCCGATTTTCTTTCTAAGAACTATAATTGACAGCATATACAAAATTTTTTATATTACAATCATAATTCACCAGTAAGTTAGCACTTGAAATGTATTTAAAAATAAATAAATAAATATATATCATAAAACTTTAAATACTTAAAAATCTCGCAGACTCCTAAAGAGATGAGCCAAAAGATTTATACTAACTATATATAATCCTATATATTGATACAAGTCTTATTTATTTCAGAGCATCAAAACTGAAGTGCATTATAGCTTGATGGCAGTAAAAGAAATCATAAATCATCAAAGGGCGAAAAAAAAAAGAAAAGTCATGGCGTCAAAACGCTGCTGGTGTTTATATACACACGTGTTCTCTGTGTGGCGTCTCTGCGCGGCTCATCATGTCGAGTTCGCTCGCTGGTTTAAAGCGGGGTGTTTGTTTAAGCGGGACAGGAGCGTGTGTGGGTTATGCTAGCATTTTGAAGTACAGCAGCCTCAGATCTCAGAGACGCACAAACATCTTCACATCTCATAATCCACACAACCACAGGCAGACGCCAGGGCTTTCCTAGACAGTGCCGTGAATATTCGGGAGGTGCGGAGAGGATTTTCTGCCAGCACCTCGTTCAGGATTACTGCGATGTTTCGTCTGTGTTATTTGGGGCAGGAAAAGAACAGGATTTTCAGGCAGGAATACTTCATCCGATACTGAACTACTGCCATCATTTACTCAACCTCAAACCTGCATGGCTTTCTTCCTTCAGTAAAACACAAACTGAGAAATTTCGCAGATTACTCCTCACACAAATTTATTGTACGACTTCAAAAGAAGTGAAATACAGCGTACAGCTCATATGGACTACTGTTATGGTGCTTTTTAGTCATTTTTCACCAAAAGGGTTTAAATCTACCAAAAAAAAAAATTTCATGAAACAATGTTAAAAAAATAAATACAATAATAAACAAATGTTATATAAATACATTAATTATATAAGTATATATAAAAATAAAACATAATATATACATCAAAATAAATAAGCCTAATATAACACATTATATATATGTGTGTGTGTATGTATGCGTATATATATATATATTAGAGATGCACCGATTGCAATTTTCGATTTTTTGTTAGTGTTATCTGCCGATACCGATTTTTGCCGATTCCGATTTTCTTTCTAAGAACTATAATTGACAGCATATACAAACAAAAATCTACTTTTCTTCAACGCAAAGTTTTATTTTCATAAAAAAACACAAGTAAAAAGTCAGTAATAAAATAACAAATAAAAAAAGGGCAAACAACAGCACAAACAAATGCAATAGAATAAAGAGAGCTATGAAACTAAGTTTTTCAGGTTTTTCATACTACAGAAATTAAAGTAATCAAATGTAAAATAACACATCCAGTGTTATTTTACATTTGATTATTTTAATTTCTGTAGTCTTCATTGTAAAAATTAAATACAGATTAATGCTTACCATTAAAGTTATAAAACGTATTCAGTCGAGAGCAGAAAGTGGTTTTCTTTGTCTTTTGTTCTTTGATTAACATGACAGACAGCAGCATAAATATTGGACTGCGGTCCCTTTAAGAGTTTATCCACGGACCCAATATACTGTTACACAACATGCGTTCTCTTTCTCAACTATTTAACGTTCCAAAACTGACTGTGTTTAACTGGATACTCGCCAAGACGGGCATTTTGACAATTTTGTATGTATTTGAACGTTGCGCAATACAAGCACTATTTAACCGGAGCGAATGAGACGTGTGTGAGAGAGAAGGGGTCGTCGGAGAGAAAAGCTGACGTTATTGCCTGTGCCGCTGGTAACAAAACAGATCGGCTCGGAATGTAAACTAATCGAACTAAAATACATATACATATATACACTAGTCAACATTTGAAGTGGATCAAAACCTTTAAATCAAAGTTGTCCTAAAACCTAAAACAAAATTTTCTTAGGACAACTTTGATGAACTTTTTTGATCCACTTCAAATTATATTATGTATTATTAATACATATAATATCATAATATTATATAATATAATTTTATAATAGACATATATATTTATTTTATTTTTTATATATTACATGTATTATTTTAGTTTTATTATATATTTTTATTAACATTTTCATTTTATTTGTTTATTTATTTTTGAAATGTATATATGTGAGTGTGTGTGTATATATACACTGTATATATATATATATAATTTATATTTGTTGCACCAAAGAAAAAGGTATGGAACAAAAAGTGAACGAGTTTCCAACATTAATCCTGTTCCCGCTCCTTTTCCTTTAAGACTTCTGTATGTAAATGACCTCTGTTTTGATCGCCTAACCTACGACGTTCCACTTCGGCATGGAGACACGCTAACGAACGGATGTGAGGTCTTACCTTGCGCCAGCCGCTCCAACCTCTTGCCGTGCTCGGGAGGAATGGCATACCTGCGGTGAGGAGGAAAAAAACGAGATCAATTAACGGGATCAATGGACAAGACGAAAGGGAAAGACACTGGAGGGACGCGCAGCGAGACGCCTCTCTGTGAGAACTGCTCTCTGAACATCACACAGCCCTCGAAAACATGAAACACGCAGAGAACATTTCACCCCTATTTCACATTCACCAGTTGCACGCTAGTTTAAAGACAAAGTACTCAAACGTCACCGAGACAAAGCCTGGAAAATTACTGCGCGAGAGGCAATTTATTTCAGCTAATCGGCTCAAACACGCGCAGCGCTAATACAGATTGTGCTGTGCTGCTTAATTTGAAACGGTTTTGCTGGAGAAGGAAACGGCACAATATCTTCCGTGCCGCTAAAGGTTCAATTCGCTTGACGTCGTTATTGACATTGTCTGTATTAGCCTAATTATTTCCTCAAGTTTCCGGAAAGCCGAAACCCTCCCGAGGCCTTGAACGCAAATGTAAATCTGGTGCATCACCCTCCCCTGGGCTCCAGCTCCAAATCACACATTCACAACGGCTTCAGGAGGGGTTTCGAGCGGCGCCACACTGCACTCTACTGGCGGCAGGAGGCAAAACGGGGATTTTATGGGCGAGTGGTACTTTCTAGTTAAACCACGGGCCAATTTCACAGCAGTGGTTTTCTCTACACAAGCGCAGGATCGTCTGAAAGCCGACTGAATACCAAGTGAACAGATTAGACGTTTGTGTTTGTATGCAGCTGATGGGATGTACAAGAAGGGGTTTGTTTTATTTCACAATGTGTTGTGGCTTTTACTGAAAAGTTACAGGAGAAAAAGTACAAGAATCATGGGGGAAAACAAAGAGGGATGGGAACTGAAAGCGCTTGACATGGCTATGCACTAACCAAACGGGAACAAGAACAAGACGGAAATAAGATCTATGGAGATGCGAACAAAGCTGTTAGTTAGCAGCCTGTGATTCCCATATTCAGATAATTATGGAATCAGCAGTAGCGCATAGGGATGCAACAATTCACTTTAACTCATGATTCGATTCACGATTTTGATTTCATGATTCGATTCTTTTTTCCTTTTTTTTTTTTACAAAATGAGGTTTAAGACAAATTATAAATAAATGTGTCCTTTTATTATTGCTTGGACAAAATGCTGCATGTTTCTTTGTGAAATTGAAATATAACACTATAATAATATACTAATACAGCACTTTATATTATTGCTCTTTTGTTGGTTTTGATTGCTTTATTGTCCTCATTTGTAAATCGCTTTGGATAAAAGCATCTGATAAATAACAAAATTTAAATATAATGTAAATGTAAATAACAAAACTAAATTAACATTTTAAAACAAGCCCCAAATCAAATAAGTAACACAAATAAAATAAATATCTTCATATAAACAAAATAAGGCTTTGTCTGTGCTCTTTCCATTTAAAATGAGAGTGAATCATTTCCAAACAATGATATAATTATGTTTAATAATCATTAAACATAATAATAATCATTATCCAAACAAAGATGCTGGATACATGCAACATGAGCAGTTTTTAACCCCTGCATGGACAGGGCCAATGAACCTGGTGGTGGTGGGGAGGATGGAGGGGAACATCAGCATCAGTTTCTGCAAACACAAGGAAGGGTGAGTAAAGAACTTTTATATTTCTCGTGTCGAGTGACGATTGGCTAGATCTAATTGTAATGCGTGACGTAGCATTAAGTCTTCCTAGTAGAACTTGCGCTAAAGCTTCCATTTCCCCCAGAGATATATTCATAAAAACTCCTACTCCAATTGTATCGCGATTTGTGCGATTTGTTAACCGATTTGAATCGTCACATATTTGAATCGATTTTCAACTGGCTCGCGGTTAATCGTTATAATCGTTACTGTAATGCAACAGGCTACCACTAGCAAGCGGCTAAACTTTTAGTGGCTCCGTAGAACGCGTTATTTGTTTCACGCTTCGGGCACACCCCTAACCCCACCCCCTGATGTCATCGTCCATCACGATGTTTCACTGCAGACATCGTCCGATGCCAATTTGGTAGGTATCGCCCAACCCTATTAAAATGAGATTTCTTTTTCTTTCCTATGAAAAGTTTCTTCTCATTTTTTTTGGCTCTTACAGAGATTATGTCCGTGGAACAGTCAGACTGTCTGCCTTTTTCCTGTTCGCTCCTTTCTGGAAGTGTGGCGGTGAGCTCAGATGAAAGAATGTAACCCTGCCGGGTTTGGTGGTTGGAGGGGGGGAACTTTCCCCTCGGCTACAGCAGAGGCCTGCACTCTCTCTGAACTTTCTCTCTATTTTCATGTGGAGGCTCCAGCCACTGTCCTTTGTGACGCCAGGCATCATTTTTATCCCTGTGCCCACAGTTTTATCACCTTCATTTCGTTTCTCACCCCAGTTCCTGTACAAACAATGATTATCACTGCTGTTGCAGAGCAAAATTCAAGTTATGCTCATATACTAATGCACCAACCATATGCCAACATGCGACAGACTAAAATGAAGCTAAAATGAAGCTAAATGGCCACAGATTATGCAATCTGTCTACTCGTCAGATCATATCGAGCCCATTTGTATAATCCCCTTTTTTTCTAGTCAATAGGAGGCTGAATTACATTGGTTAATCGGAGTTTATGGAGGTCAATGCACTTATAAAAATCTCTAGGAAATGAAAATGGCACATATTAAGCTGTCTAGAACACACATTATGTAATGCTCCTACAGAATCTGTGTGCATGAAATATGTATTTCTGTACACACTTGTTTGCATCATAACAACTGTACAAAAAGTACAGTGTTTTTTTTATTGGCATCAGTGGTT